CTAAGTTATAGGCCAGCCTGAGACACACGAGACCCATCTAAACAGAGAAACTAACAAATAAATACACAAGTGTCGGCTGACTCATTCTGCAGGAAACTAATACAGGATAACACCACCTTCTGTCCAGCATCTGGGCTTTTTATGTCCCCAGATTTTTTTAATTTAATTAATTTATTTATTAATTAATTTATTTTTTGCAGGCTAAGGGACACTCAGGACCGCGTTTGTGATTAATGTTCAATTTATTAAGCTCTAAATCCCCAAACCATGTTTTTGTGGAGCATTTAAAGACTGGTTAAAATTTTATGAGTAAACTTAAATAATGTAAAGTAGCCACAATTTTATATTTAGGATGGTCAATCCTTTTAAACACTCTAAAACCTAGCTCATGAACACAAAACTATGGCAGGGGTGCTGGATCTGTACCCCAGTCTAATGTGTGGGGTCAACACCATGGTTGGGGTGGGTTTTCTTATTTTTTAAAAATTTCTGTGCCTGTTTTTCTATGCTCCTTTGGACAAAACCTTGGGGCTTCAGTCTTATTATTTTTTTCTTTTGCTTTCTGGGGTCACAAAATTCGTAGCAGACTCAAAGAAAAGATTATCTTATCAGTACACTGAGACTGAAACATGGCACATGGACAGATTAATCCTGGGGCAAGTTTGTTTCTCCTGAAGGGATTTTAATCCAAATTACCTTTTCCATCATGGTTTTTCTATAGTTCATTGACATCTGTCATGTCACAAAGACTATTTCAGGCTATATCTTGTGCCTAGGGCTTAATTTTGCAATTTACTGTCTACTCTTGAATTAAAAAAATTATCTCTTGGCAAATATTATATACCTATTTGCTTTGTCAGAATCCATTATTGATTTGTTCTCTAGCATTACAGACTGAGGTGTTTCTTATTATCACGGAGACTTAATCTTTTGAGTTGGAAGACTGAGTTTTCGGTTGTCAGCTTTACAACTGATAAGTTTGTTAGTTTGGAAACCAAAATAACCAACAGCAGAACCTTTTCTTCTTTGGTTCATATAAGGGTTCATTCAGACTGAATAGCTCTTTCTGATTTTGTTTCACAGTTTTCATTTTCATTCTCCTTAAAGAAGGGAGAGAAACACAGATGACTATGTTTCATACACATAAAATTAGTGAAGAAACAGCAATCCTTTCTTACTGTTGAAATTAACAAGGACTACTACAATGACCTTTGGGGTTGACATCTTATTAACCTTTCTGTTTTGAGTCATTTCGAAACCCTACTCTTACACAAGACTTAACTTGTTCCTGAAAGGTATGATGATGGCAACAATAATGATTTTGATGGTCAAATTGTAACATCACATTAAAAGCCTCTCCCTTCTAATCTTAAAAAAAAATCCAAAGAAACTCTACCAGGGAACTCCTACACCTGATAAATACTTTCAGCAAAGTGGCAGGATACAAGATCAACTCAAGAAAATCAGTAGTCCTACTATGTACAGATGGTAAAAGGGCTGAGAAAGAAATGAGAGAAACATCACCTTTTACAATGGCCACAAACAACATAAAATACCTTGGGGTAACGCTAACCAAACAATTGAAAGACCTGTATCCCAAGAACTTTGAGTCTTTAAAGAAAGAAATTAAAGAAGACATCAGAAAATGAAAAGATCTCCCACGCTCTTGGATAGGTAGGATCAGTGTAGTAAAAACAGCGATCCTGCCAAAAGCAATCTACAGATTCAATGCAATCCCTATTAAAATACCAGCACAATACTTCACAGACCTTGAAAGAACAATAATCAACTTTGTATGGAAAAACAAAAGACCCAGGATAGCCAAAACAACCTTATTCAACAAAGCAACATCTGAAGGCATCACCATCCCTGACTTCAAGCTCTGTTATAGAGGTATAGTCCTGAAAATGGCTTGGTATTGGCACAAAAATAGATAGGTAGACCAATGGAATCAAATTGAATACCCTGATATTAACCCATATATGTATGAACATCTGATCTTTGACAAAGAAACTAAGAATATACAATGGAAAAAAGAAAGCATCTTCAACAAATGATGCTGGCATAACTGGAGGCTGGCATGTAGAAGAATGCAGATAGATCCATGTCTATCGCCATGCATAAAACTGAAGTACAAATGGATCAAAGACCTCAACATAAATCCAACCAAACTGCAACTCTTAGAAGAGAAAGTGGGTGATACCCTTGAACGAATTGGTACATGAGACTGCTTCCTGAACATAACACCAGTAGCACAGACAGTGAAATCAACAATTAATTCATGGGACATCCTGAAACTGAGAAGCTTCTGTAAGGCAAAGGACACAGTCAACAAGACAAAAAGGCAGCCCACAGAATGGAAAAAGATATTCACTAACCCCACATCTGACAGAGGGCTGATCTCCAAAATTTACAAAGAACTAAACAAGCAAGTCTCTAAAACACCAAAGGATCCAATTAAAAGGTGGGCTGCAGAACTTAATAGAGAACTCTCAATAGAGGAGTCCAAAATGGCTGAGAGGCACTTGAGAAAGTGCTCAACATCCCTAGCCATCAGGGAAATGCAAATCAAAACAACTCTGAGATACCATCTTACTCTTGTCAGAATGGCTAAAATCAAAAACACTAATGACAATTTATGCTGGAGAGTGTGGGGACACCAGACCTTGAGCAGAGACCCACTTCCCCTTCGGCCTGGGAGCAGGCAGCTGTGAGATAATGTTTACTGAAAACAATTCAGTGCTATAAAGCTCTTGATAGGGCTCAGATAAGGGCTCGCTCACTGAAACACCTTGACTTTGATCCCCCCTACGGCTAGAGGCTTCTTCCTGTTCCCCCTGCTGTTTCTCCCCAATTCTGGGGCCAGAGATTAAACCACCAGCCAGGAGGGTGAGAAGTCTGGGAGCTGTGAGAGGTGTGTGAGAGCTCAGTTGGAGAATTGTATATAGATGGATGGCAGAAGTCCTTAAAAAGGGAAGCATTTTTTCTTGGAGAGCTCTCCCCTAAGCCAACTTGGGAAGCATAAAGTTTTCTTAAAGCAACCGACCAGTCTCTGTGTCATCTATCCCGACCACCTCGCTACATTCTCGGATGCAAGCTGCGCAGGCAGGTGTGACAGGAGAGGTTGTGGTGAAAGGGGAACACTCCTCCACTGCTGGTGGGAGTGCCAACTTGTACAGCCACTTTGGAAATCAGTATGGAGATTCCTCAGAAAAATGGGAATCAGCCTACACCAAGACCCAGAATTTCCACTCTTAGGCATATACGCAAAAGGTGCACATTCATGCTATGTTCATAGCAGCATTATTTGTAATAACCAGAACCTGGAAGCAACCTAGATGCCCCTCAACTGAAGAGTGGATAGAGAAAATGTGGTACACATTTACACAATGGAGTACTATTCAGCAGAAAAAAAAAAAACAATGGAATCCTGAAATTTACAGGCAAACAGATGGCACTAGAAGGAACCATCCTGAGTGAAGTAACTCAGTCACAAAAAGAGAAACATGGCATGTACTCTCTCATATATGGATTTTAGATATAGACCAAGGGAGTCCCAGCCTACAATCCCGCTGCCAGAGAGTCTGGGAAACAGAAACTTCTTTTAGTCGATGATCGAAGAAGAGGCAGACTCCCTTGGCTAAGTACTGAGCTGAACTCAAGAAAGTCAGTAACAGAGAGGGAGGACTGATGACCAAAGGGACTAAGACCGGGCTGGTTTAACCCCCAGAAACAGCTGACCTGAACAAGGGTTAGCTCTTGAATCCCAAACTGATGGCTGGGAATCCAGCATGGGACTGATCAAGACCCCCTGAATGTGGGTGTCAGTGAGGAGGCCTAGGTAATCTATTGAGCCTTGGGTAGTAGATCAGTATTTATCCTGGGTATACAAATGGCAGCCATCCAACAATGAGAGATGCACTCTCACCCTGAACTCTTGGGTGAGGGTCTAGGTCCTGCCCTGGATGAAATGACAGACTATGGACACCCCCCTGGAGGGCCTCACCCTCCCTGGGGAAAGGAGGGGGTATTGGGGGGTTTGGCAGGAGATCGTGGGAGGAGGGGAGGCAAAGGAAGAGGGACCTGGGATTGACATGTGAAGCAACCTTGTTTCTAATTTAAATTTAAATTTAAATTTAAATTTAAAAAAATGATCAAGCCATGACATCATAGAACAGTTGGGTGACAAAGGTTTAGGAAAACATAAGGCATCTCTCACAGTTAGACTGTACCCTGCAGGGACGGAAGCCAGTGTAGCTGGAGAGAGCAAGGTTCCTGAGAAGGCTGGGTAGCACTGTTCAGTTTTGTTGACCTGAAATAAATTTAATGTTTTATTTTTGTCATCTGTGCCTTACTTCTACAATAAAAGTTATTTATTTTTTATTAAATGGAGTTACATAAGGCCATTTTCATGCAGGTATATTGGTGTGCCCAAGTTGCAAAGATCCCCAGAGACTACCAGGAAGACAAACCCACTAAATTGCAAAAGCAAGATTTTAGTCTTCATCCAACCATAACAGGGACCCCGTCTAGCAAGCTGACACAGCAGCCTCCAGAGGGAGTGAAGTTCCCTGTCTACTGCTAGGTTTTAAAGACAAAAGTTACAGGATTACATCAGTGGGTATGGGTTGGTTTCTGATTGGTTAACATTGGGGAACAAACAGGAGAATTTCTCAAAGTCGTATTTTGACATGAAATACCTGTGTACCAATCATTTTCATTGGTCAGTGCTGAGAGGGAACATTCTGTGGTTTCTATGGCATTGTCTTGTTACTTGCTGGTGGCCTGTTTATAGATACCAACAGTTTTCAGAACTGTATCCTGTAGACTATAGGAGGTTTTGGTCTCCCCTGGATTTTCTTTTGTGGCCAAACAGTTCCCAGAAACCAAGTATCTAGAAGGGTGGGGTGGGGTCTGGAGTTCTTTGTGTTTCGTTTTGGCCCTAGGCTCTGGGAGGCCAGAGGATCTGGAGTTGCCTTGTGTCAGAGGCTTATGTGTCTTTTCTGTAGCCTGTCATGGCTGCTAAAGCAGGGGGCTGAGTAAGTATCTGGTCCCTTTATTTCTAAATTATTAGAAGTGAAGTTTTAGTTTAGTTTACCCCTTTTAATATACAACACTTTGAGCATAATTTTCTTTTCTTTTTTTCTCCACACCCGTTCCATCAGCCCCTTGATTACCTAGACTGTCTGGCTTTGACTTTCATGTCGTCAATGCATAAATCTACAATTTGTATCTCAAACACTGTCACTGTATAGTCAGAGGTGGCTTCAGGTGGCCCTTACCCTTTATACAACGATGGTGACATCTTTGAAAACATTTTTATCTTGGTAACAAAAGGATGGTGGAGAAATGTCCTAATTTTTTCCCTCTGGTTCTCAGTCCCACGACTTAGGTACCCTCTGATGGACTATGCCTTCCTTCAGAAGAAAAGCACATGAAAGGCCTTGTGCTAGGCTCTGAGACTGCACTGGAATGGTGGAGCAGGTGCTATTGATGCTGGCTGGGTTACTCAGAGATGAAAGAAGACTTGCAGAGGTCGTGGTTTCCCACCTATATTTATAATTTAACTGACCATGTTGCCATTCTTTTTTTTTCTTATTTTAATTTTAAATAGCTTGTTTTACATGTCAATCCCAGTTCCCTGTCCCTCCCCTCCTCCCACAGCCTCCCCATCCCCCCAGCCTCCCACCCTATCGCCATTTCCTTCCACATAGGGGATATCTAGAGTCTGTCATTTCACTCAGGGCAGAGTCCAGGCACTCCCCTAAGAGTCCAGGCTGAGAGAACATCCCTCTTTGTGTTATGGACACATGATGTCTGTTTGTATGCCAGGGATAAACACTAATCCACTGCCCAGAGCTCCATATAAAGCTGTTTATTGTTCTTTCAAGGTCTATGAAGAATTGTGACGGATTTTTGGTAGGGATTGCATTGAATCTGTAGACTTCTTTTGGCAAGATTGCCATTTTTATTATGTTGATCCTACCAATCCAGGAACATCAGAGATCTTTCCATTTTCTGGTATCCTCTTTGATTTCTTTCTTTAAAGACTCAAAGTTCTTGATATACAGGTCTTTCACTTTGTTGGTTAACATTATCTCTAGATATTTGTTGCTGTTCATGGCTATTGTAATGGGTGATGTTTCTCTGATTTCTTTCTCAGCCACTTCATCATCTGTATATAATAGGGCCACTGATTTTTTTTGACTTAACCTTGTATCCTGCCACTTTGCTGAAGGTGTTTATCAGCTCTAGGCATTCCCTTGTGCAGTTTTTCGGGTCACTTATGTAAACTATAATATCATCTGCAAATAGTGAAAGCTTGACTTCTTCTTTTCCTATTTGTATCCCCTTGATCTCCTTTTGTTGTCTTATTGCTGTAGCCAGAACTTCAAGTACAATATTGAAGAGATATGGAGAGAGTGGACAGCCTTGTCTTGTTCCAGATTTTAGAGAAATTGCTTTGAGTTTCTCTCCATTTAGTTTGATGTTAGCTGTTGGTTTACTATATATTGCTTTTATTATGTTAAGGTATGTTCCTGTTATCCCTGATCTCTCTAGGACCTTTATCATGAAGGGGTGCTGGATTTTGTCAAAAGCTTTTTCAGCATCTAGTGAGATGATCATGTAGTTTTTCTTTTGCTGTTTGTTTATATGGTGGATTACATTGATAGATTTTCTAATGCTGAACCATCCCTGCATCTCTGGAATGAAGCCTACTTGATCATGGTGGATGATTTTTCTGATGTGTTCTTGAATCCAGTTTGCTAGTATTTTATTGAGTATTTTTGCATCGATGTTCATGAGGGAAATTGGTCTATAGTTCTCTTTCTTAGTTATGTCTTTGTGTGGCTTGGGTATCAAGGTAATTGTAGCCTCGTAAAAAGAGTTTGGCAGTGAGCCTCCTGCTTCCATTGTGTGGAATACTTTGAGGAGTATTGGAATTAGCTCTTCTTTGAATTTCTGGTAGAATTATGCACTGAAGCCATCTGGGTCTGGGCTTTTTTGGGTTGGGAGACTTTTCATGACTGCTTTTATTTCATTAAGGGTTATAGGCCTGTTTAGATTGTTTATCTGTTCTTGATTTAGTTTTGGCAAATTATCTCTATCCAGGAAATTGTCCATTTCCTTTAAATTTTCAAATTTTGTGGAGTACAGATATTCAAAGTATGCCCTGAAGATTCTCTGGATTTCCTCAGTGTCTGTTGTTATGTCCCCCTTTTCATTTCTGATTTTGTTAGTTAGCATTCTCTTTCTCTGTCTTTTGGTTAGTTTGGACAGAGGTTTGTCTATTTAGTTGATTTTCTCAAAGAACCAACTCTTTGTTTCATTGATTCTTCTCAATGTTTTCCTGGTTTCTACTTGATTGATTTCAGCCCTCAATTTGATTATTTCCTGGCATCTACTCCTCCTGGTTGAGTTTGCTTCTTTTTGTTCTAGAACATCCAGCTGTGCTATCAATTCTCTAGTGTGACTGTTCTCCAGTTTCTTCATGTGGGCACTTAGTGCTATGAACTTTCCTCTCAGCACTGCTTTCAGAGTGTCCCATAAGTTCAGGTATGTTGTGTCTTCATTCTCATTGAATTCCAGGAAGTCTTTAATTTCTTTTTTTATTTCTTCCTTTACTCAGGGATGGAGCAATTGTGTATTGTTCAATTTCCATGAGTGTGTAGGGTTTCTGCAATTTGTGTTATTGTCGAATTCTAATTTTAATGCATGGTGGTCTGATAAGATACAGGGGCTTACTCCAATTTTTTTGTATCTGTGGAGATTTGCTATGTTTCCTGTTATGTGTTCAATTTTAAAGAAGGTTCCATGTGACACAGAAAAATGAATGCCAATGCAGATGGACAGTTTGAAATTTCCTGCTTTGCTGAGAAATCTTCTGGACACATTGTGGCCTATGGGCTGAAGATGGATGCCCCAATGTTACAGAGGAAATTCGGGTGACTGTCCAGGCAGTAAGATGTCTCTGTCAATCCTAGTGTTTATGAATTATCCTTCTGTGGTTTTTGATGGAGTTGAAGACAGATAGCTATCATCATAGTTTTCCTTAGCTATGATAAGAGATAAGCTACATATAGAACTTTGAACTCACAAGGATGGGATGGAAAATGTTTTCTTTAAATCTTGCTAAATGTTGATAGACAAAATATTGTAACTGTGTTCTTACTTGATAACTGTTCTGTTATATATAATTTGACTATGTTAAAGTTAAGACCTTTCTTTTTGTATAGACAGAAAAGAGGAGATGATGGGAGAAGTCCTGTGTATATGTCAATAAAGTACTGTTGGCCAATATGGAAGCAAGATAGGTGGGACTAGGAGTCTAGGAGGACTCTGGGTAGGAGAAACACAGGGAGTCAAGATGTAACCGCCATAGGGATAAGAAGCCCGGAAACTTCTCCGGTAAGAGAAATACTTAGATTAACAATTATGGGGTAAATACTTAAGTCAGAACTAGCCAGTAAGAAACCAGCAAGGCCAACAGCTTCATAATTAATACAGCATCTTGTGTGTTATTTGGGGACTACAACGAGACAGAGCCCAGATGACTGGTAAGGAAAAACCAAGCTGTTAACAAGGAAAAGGCATCTCTTTACAATTGAGGGATATTAATGACCATTGATTGATGATTCTTGTTTGTGCTTGATTTATTGGCAGTGGAGTTATTTTGTGTAGGTTCTCCTCCCTTTTTCTTTTGGTGTTTGGTAAAGTGGGATTATCTATTGCCTGTGTCTTTGTGAGTGTAGTTATCTTCATTGGGTCTAGGTTTTCCTTCTAGCACTTTCTGTAGAGCTGGATTCATGGATACTTATTGTTTAAATCTGGCTTTGTCGTGGGTTATTTTGTTTTCTCCATCTGTGGTAATTGAGAGCTTTGCTGGATATAGTAGTCTGGGCTGGCATCCTTGTTCCCTTAGCATTTGTAGGACATCTGTCCAGGATCTTCTGGCTTTCATAGTTTCCATTGAGAAGTCAGGTGTAATTCGGATAGGTCTGCCTTTGTATGTTACTTCACTTTTTTCTTTAGCTGCTCTTAATATTTTCTCTTTATCCTGTAGGTTTGATGTTTTAATTATTATATGGCGAGGTGACTTCTTTTTCCGGTCCAGCCTATTTGGCATTCTTTAAGTTTCTTGTATTTTCATAGGCATATCCTTCTTTAGGTTAGGGATGTTTTCTTCTATGATTTTGCTGAATATGTTTTTTGTACCTTTGAGCTGTATTTCTTTGTCTTCTTTTACACCTATTATTCTCAGGTTTGGCTTCTTCACGGTGTCCCATATTTCTGGATATTTTGTGTTAGGGATTTGTTGGTTTTGAGATTTTCTTTGGTTGATGACTGCATATCCTCTAATGAGTCTTCAATACCTGAGATTCTCTCTTCTGTCTCTTGTATTCTATTGGTGATAAATGCATCTGTAGTTCCTGATTGTTTAGCTAGCTTTTCTATTTCCAGCATCCCCTCATTCTGTGTTTTCTTTATTGTTTCTATTTCAACTTTCAATCCTTCAGCTATTTGAGTTGTTTCCTGCATTTGTTTGGTTGTTTTTCTTGGTATTCTTTAGATTCTTTGAGAAATTTGTTTATTTCTTGAATTGTTCCCCCCATTTCATGGATTTTTTTGTTTGTTTTCTCTTCTATTTCATTAAGGGATTTCCTTGTTTCCTTTTTGAGGGTCTCTATCATCTTCATAAAATAATTTTTAAGGTCTGTCTCCTCTGCTTCTTCTATGTAATGCTTTTCAGGTCTTGCTGGTGTTGGTTCTCTAGATTCTGGTGGGGTCATGTTGGTGTTTCTATTACTGAGTGTGCTCTTATTCTGTCTTCTTCCCATTTCTTCTTCCAGTGGGTGCAGTTGGGGTCTTTCTGTCTCCACTGGTCTCCTTCCTTCCTGAAGCTGAAGCTGGGGATGCTGACACTGAAGCTGAAGCTGGGGATGCTGACACTGAAGCTGAAGCTGGAGTAGCCGGAGGTTGGGGCCTGGAAGGGCTGGTGTCTTTCCTGAAGCTGAAGCTGGGATTGCCAGAGGTTGGGGCCTGGAAGGGCTGATGTCTTTCCTGTGTGGGCGGGTCTTTTGGATGCCAGGAATGCTCCCTGGAAGATCGAGAGGATGGGTGTTGGATGGGGTATGGGGAGTGTTCCCCCCCCCAGACCCAAGATCACCTGAAGCTGGGATCTCCTGAGGTTGGGGCCTGGAAGGCCCATGTTGCCATTCTTTATAGTTCCTGTATTACATAAGGTTTCATCAACTTGCAAACCTTTCTCCTAAATTGACAACTATTTTTTCTGTTTTTTTTTTGATGAAACAACTAAATGGAGTCAAAACATACCTTCTACTATGCTGTCCTCTTTGGTCTAATGATCTCCAAACTTTTGTCTCTCAGATAATTCATATTTTTGCCATTGTTTTCAAACTAAGGATTCTGTAGTACTTCCAGTATTGTTTTATAACTATTCTGATTCATTAATGTTAGGTATCCCAGGCTAGCCTGGAACTCATGAATACCCTACCTCAGTGAGTGTTGGGAGT